TATGGATAGAAATATAGCCAGAGCACGCCGCTGTGGGTGGGTTCATCCTCTCTGTTGCTCTTTCTCGGCCACGCCCTGGCTGCTCAGCACTGTTCATTCCAGCATGGGCCACGTGAGATTCCTTCCAAGGGTCTCCCCAGAGCTGAACTGTGCTGAGGGGAATTGCTGCTAGCAGATGCTTGTAGGGATAAACCCTGCTTGTGTCTTGGACACTTAATGTGCTTCCTGATGAATGGAGGCAATCATCACAGTGCTCATTTACTTAAGCAAGCTTTGTCATGGAGCTGGGAGTGTGGCTGTGACCTGGCTGCCCCTGCTCAGCCCTGTGGCCTTTCTGTCCCACAGGTGTGTGACAATGTGGCCAAGTCTGTGCACAATGAGCTCCAGACGTACATTCAGACACTGCCAGGTACTGGGGGGCTGTGTGTGGATTTAGGAGCAGTTCTTCCTGGCATTTCCCAGCCATGAGGAATGTTTTACTTTGCATCTGCTCCCCATGTCGTGGTGTTAAGGCACCCAAGCTGGGAGCTGAGGAGCAACTTCTCATATGATACAAATCATTGGGTGTCCTGTCTGGCTGTGGGAATTCCTTCAGGATTTGTGACCATGGGCTGCTGGGGGCGTGGGGTACTTTAACTGGCAATGATGGCCATTCCTCAGATCCAAGAGATGGCTGAGAAAAGTCAGGGTAAAAGTGGGAGTTTTTGCTTCCTAGCAGAAGTGAGCAGAGGAGCAGTTGGTAGTGAGCTAAAGCACGAGGAACCCAATCATGGCACTGCCCAGATGCCAGTAGGGGCCACCTGCTCTCAACCATGTCATTCATACTCACCTCTCTTCCTTGTGTTTGCAGTCACAGTCAGGATAGATGACAAGATTGGGATAAATTACACCTTGGTGGCACCCCCAAGAGCTACCGCCCAGTCCCTGGATGCAGACCTGAAGGTGAGAGGCAGCCCTGGGAACCCTTGATTTGGCCAGTGCTGTTGCCAAAGGCAGGTGACAGCCAAGGTTTTGGTACCTGCTGCAAATGCTGTTGGCCAGTGTGAGTCAGCAGGTGAGCCCCACTGCTATTTGCAGCCCTTCTCCACGTCTCTCCCTCCTCCCAGGGTGAATTCTACTCCCTGGCCCACCGCTCCCCCGTGCCCTTCTCACCGCTGCCACTGGCCTTCCCCTCGGATCACGAGCGCATGGTTTACTTTGGAGCCTCCAGCTACTTCTTCAACACAGCCGGCATTGCCTACCACGAGGCTGGGGCACTGGTCTTTGAAATCACACAGGCCATGGTGAGTGGCACGAGTGGCACAGGGCAGGGAAAGAGGTTCCATTTGCTGAGGAGCTCTGGGAGCAGCCAGCAATCCTGGAGAAGCCCCAGTGAGAGAGCTGGGGGCTGTGGGATGAGACTGTCAGATATGGCAGCATGTGGGGATGCCATGGGCTCCTCTGTGCCCCATTGCCCCAGTGTGACAATCCTCTCCCTGCAGATCCCAAAGGAAGCGGGATTCAGCTTGGACACCTCTCTTTTCTCAGCCTTCATTCCCCAGGTGAGCAGTCTGGCCCTGCCTGCCCAGAGCTCCTGCACACACAGGCTTTGCTCTGTGACAGGTGTTCTCCCCTCAGAACTGGGGGCTTGTGCCATCATTCCCATCCTCTCCCATCTCCCACACAGCTGGAGGAGAAGTATCCAAACATGCCAATGAAGTTCAGGGTGTCCACTCCCACTGCTCCATTCCTGACTGTTGGAGAAGGAGGAATCTCATTCCAGCCCATTGTGGATGTCCAGGCTTATGCCATCTTTCCCAACTCCAGCCTGGCTCCTCTCTTCCTCCTCAGCCTGGTGAGTTCAGACACGGCCTGTGGTGCTGGGGCAGAAGGGATTTTGAGCTGTGCCCTGTCCTGTTGCCCAGATCGTGCCAGGGGAGCTGCCAGGTGCTGTCCAGGCACAGTGAGGATGTCCCCAAGTGAACAATGCCTGAGCTGACAAATGTCAGGTTTAATGCTGGATGCAGACACGCCCCTGGATGGGCAGTGGTGTGTTTCAGCTGGTCAGAGCCTTTCCCCTGGTGTCTGCTTTGGGCTGAGGTGGGGTGAGCACTGCCAGAGCTCTGTGCTCTCTCCCCAGACAGGGAACGTGTCCGCTGTCATCAACGTGAGATCCGGCCGCATAGTTGGGAGCCTGGATGTGGGCAGGTACAGAGGGCAGCAGCCACTGCCTGGGCAGGGGGTGGCTGGGGGTCTTTCTGTTTTGGGTGCCCAGGGCCAGAGAGGGGATGGGAAGGTGCCTGGGATGTGGCCTTGCTGTGCAGGGAAGGAATGAGCTGGGGCTGGAGGGAGTGGGATCTGCATGGCCATGGGTGGGTGGAATCGCTCCCTCCCTGGGCACATCCTCCACAGCACCACTTCTGTCCCTGTGCAGGATCAGGCTCTCTCTGAAGGATTCAGCTGTTGGCACTTTCCAGGTAAGCTCTCCTTGACCACAAGCAGAGCCCCCAGCATGGAGCGGGCAGCCTGCTGGGGGCAAGGACAGAGAGTCATTCCCCACTGCCTCCCAACATGGGACCCCACACTGACCCTGCAGCCACCTCCTGCCTCAGCCTGCAAGGCTGGGAAGGGATGTGGAGCCTGATCCATTGCTGCTCTCACCCCAAACATTTCCCACACTGCCACTGGGAACAGACAAAGCTGCTGGTCTCTGGCAAAGTGTGTGCCCATTCCACTCTTCATTTCCTTTTTCTAATTATCCTGAAGTACCTGCATGTCTCCTGTCCTGCAGGCTAAAGCTTTTCCTCCCTCTCTCCCCACTCCCCAGGTACATTTTGTGCAGTCCATAATGAACTACTTGACTTCCAGTGTCCTCCTGCCACATCTTAATGGTGAGAACCTACTGAGGGGAATGGGGTTGCTGGAGCACCCTCCACTCAGGTTGCTCCATCCAAGGGGTCCCAGCTCACTAATTAAATCCTCCTTGCCAAGGCTGATGCAGGGCAAAGTGCGTGCAGGAGGCGGCAGTGAAGCAGAGGGAGCCTCTTGCTGCTCTGACAGGCTCCCAGCAGCAAACGTAATGGAAAATATGAGCCCTGTGCAGATCCTAATGCTTTCCAGACCCTCTCCCCGAATCCCTGCATCTCCTGCCTCGCCAGCAGCTCAGACCAGAGTGGGGCTGGTGGCAGCAGTGGCCAAGGGGGCTGTCCTGGCACAACAGGCAGCCCTTCTGTGGAGTTTGGCAGGAGTTTCCTCTGCCTGCCCCAGGAGCAGTGGAGGAGAGGAAAGGGCTGGGGGAAGGAGGGGGCCACTTTCTCTGAGTGCTCTGTGCTCCCTTGACTCCCATTGCCATCCCAATGCAGACACATGTGTTGTCTTTTCCAGCCCGCTTAGATGAGGGTTTCCCTCTGCCACTTCTGGACAGGATTCAGCTCTCCAATATCCTTGTGAGGTTCCAGCAGGTGAGTGAGAGGGAGCAGCTGGCTCCAGCTGGGGCCCATCCTGCTGCCTACAAAGCCCTGCTGACCAGCACAGCCTCCCAATCCAGTTCCCCCAGCTGCGCTGGAAAGTGATGAATGGGAGGGTGCTCTTCACTGAGATCCCAATGGCCCAGCAGCAAACCAGAGCACATGTCCCAGTCCATTCTGCCTTCAGGGATGTGCTGGGTGCTGGGCAGTGCAGCTGCCAGGGCCCGTAGCAGCCCAGCACTTTCTCTCTTTCTGCCAGAATTTCCTGCTGCTTGGAGCAGACGTTCGCTTCCAGCCCCGGGGATGAAGATGTGGTGATGAGAGCCCTTCAGCACTAAATCTGCTCCATTCACCACTTTGCCCTTCCCTGCCTGAGCTGAAGACCACCAGTCCTGCCACTGTCCTGCACTGCTGCCTGGGCCTGCACCCTCCATCCTCCTGCTGGGGCCTCACCTGGTGCTACCATGAGCTGGGGGTCCCGTGCCCTGGGCCACCCCCTCCCCTCCTCCCTCTGAGCAGCAATAAAGGCGTTGGTGCTGGGGCTCTGCTCTTGGTGTCACTGTCTGCACCTCGGGCCACACAGGACCAGATGGGAGCTGGAGCTGGATCAGGGCCACTTTGTTGGGCTGTTTCCATGGCCATGGTGACGCACCATGGAACACCTGTGTCCTCCTGTCCTGTGCCTTCACTCCAGCCTTGGGGCAGAGTGGTTGAAAAAAGCACAGTGGAAAAGGCCCTAGGGGTGCTGTCAATAGCAGCTGAACATGAGCACCCGGTGGCCAAGAAAGTCAAGGACACCCTGGCCTGTATGAACATGGCCTGTAGCCCGGGGGCAGCCAGACCAAGGAAGGGATTGTCCCCCTGGCGTGGGTGAAGCCCACACCTCAAGTCCTTTTTCTAGTTCTGGGTCCCTCACTTCAAGAAGGACATGGAGGTGTTGGTGCATGTCCAGAGAAGGGCAATGGAGCTGGGGAAGGGGCTGGAGCATCCCAGGCTGAGGGAGCTGGGGGGGCTCAGCCTGGAAGAAGGGAGGCTCATGGGGGGACCTTCTCACCCTCACAACTCCCTGACAGGAGGGAGCAGCCATGTGGGGGTCAGGCTCTGCTCCCAGGGAACAGGGACAGGATAAGAGGACATGGTCTTAAGCTGCACCAGGGGACTTTTATGTAGGGTATTAGGAAAGATTCCTTCACAGGAAGGGTCATTGAACCTTGGAATGGGCTGCCCAGGGAGGTGGTGGAGTCACCGTCTCTGGAGGTGTTTAAGGGAAGACTGGACATGGCGCTCAGTGCCCTGGTTTGGCTGAAATGGTGCTTCTGGGTCACAGGCTGAACTCGATGACCTCGGAGTTCTTTTCCAACCTAATTAATTTTGTGATTTTGTGATTCTCGCGGCGGCACCGCCCAGCAGCGGGGCGGGCCCGGAATGGCGGCGGGGCGGAACGCGGCGCCGAGGGGTGGAGGCGGCGGCGGAGTCGCATTGTCGGCGCACGGCGGGGCCGGTCCGTCCCCAGGCGGTCGGTCCGTCCCCCAAAGCGCCCCCCCAGCCGCGGCCATGCTGCCCGGGGCCCGAGCGCTGCGGGCGGCGGGGCTGCTCCGCCCGCCCGGGGCCGCTCCCCGCAGCGGGGCTGCCCGCAGGGTGCGCTGCGGGCCAGCACAGCGGCCGGCGTGGCGCGGCTTCGCTCTGCCCGCGGGGCCCGATCTGCGGCACTTCCTGAGGGCAGCTGCCGCGGGGCAGCCGGGGCCGTCGCCAGAGCTGCCGCCTGATCCGGGCTCTATCCCCGGTGCCCCGAAAGGTCTGTGGGTCTTCGGGGTCGGAGCTGTTGGGGTCAGCCGAACCCCCTGCTGTGGCCTCGCTGCCGGGGCAAGGGCAGCCGTAAGGCCGGTGCACACAATGGTGTTTCCCAGTCGGAGCGGAGTGGGGAAAATGGGATGTTTGGTTGCTTTTGGGGCCCTGAGGGGGTTTTGACGCTAGAAGGAGTTTAGTTCTTGGCTGCAAAGTCGTGTGTGTTTTTTCATCACGGAGTTGGACAGAGAGCAGGTTGCTCTGGGACCTGCCTGCAGTGTGTGCTGTGCTGTCAGTGGGGCTGTGGCACGGGTGGTGCCCTGGCGGGGATGGTGTTCACTGCCCTGAGTGTTGTATCTCGGTAAGGACACAGCTGCTGCTGCTGCTGCTCTGCAGTCACAGCCCAGCCCTGCCGTGTTGCAGAGCACACGAGTTTCCCAGAGCCTGCCTTTGTTTATCCCTTGTGGGCTGCAGGTGCAGGCAGCTTTTGTGCTGCTTCCCTGACTCCGGTGGTGGGGTTGAGGCTTGTTCCCGCAGAGCAGGGGCTAGGACGGGTTGTGGATGGGAGCTGAGCAGGCTCCTGTGTCACACGGCCTTTGTTGCAGTGTACCTGGAGACCTACGGCTGCCAGATGAATGTCAGCGACACCGAGATCGTCTGGGCCATCCTGCAGAAGAATGGCTATGCCAGGACAAAGGAGCTGAGTGAGGTAAGGCAGCATCTTGGCAGCTCTCCTGGAGCCCAGCCCTCACACCCTGGCTGTGCCTGCAAGTCCCAGCTTTTCTCTGGAGTGCAACCCTGTGGGATGTTACGAATTTTGTAGTCTGAGTTCTGTGAAGTGAAGGAAACTGCTTAACAAGTGTGCTAGAAAGCTGTGGGTTGTCTTTTTTCTTTAAACTACTGGGCTCTGTCTCAGTTGGAGAGGGATTGGACACAGCAGGATCCTCCTGTCTCCTCTTTGAGTTTACTTTTACCATTTAGTGAAGACTCTGCTTGTCTTCTGTTTCTTTCTTGCAACTCTTTTTGTTGAAATCTTCTGTGTGCTCAGGTAGGTCTTTTTCCCTGAGTTAAGTGAGTTTTAGAGTCTACATCTTTAGGTTACCTGGGCAGGGCATGAGAACTTATTGTTTGGTTTTGATAGATTCTTCTCTTTTTGTTGCTTTTGATTTAGGCAGATGTGGTTCTTCTTGTCACCTGTTCTGTGAGGTAAGGAGATGTTTGTCACTGGCTTGGGACAGTTTTTAAGGAATTACCATTTGAAAACCAAGGCAGTAAAGGTGTTGCATGAGGAAAGGAGTGTGCAGGTGTGAAACTGACTATTTATTTGAGAGTAGGGCTGGCTGGTGCTATGATTTACAACAATAATTGTGCTATGAATTGTTTCTCTGGGTAATGAGAAGTTCTTTGGTAGTATCATCTCTGTGCATATGCCATGGGCAGTGAGAGACCTGCACAATTAATGATTTTATTTTAAAATAGTCTATCTTCTCTTGAAGCGACTCTCTAGTACAGTGTCTGTACTTAAAAATGTGAGAAATATGTTTAGGGGCAACTTGATGTAAAGGGAACTTTCCTTGTTTTTTCTGAATGCAGAAGACACCAAATGCTCATTGTCACTTGCAGGGTACCTTGTAGTGTGGCCAAGGCACTTTTTCTCCCCAAGAGCTTAGTCCCTAAAGTGTTTCTGCAGTGGAGATGCTCTCAGGCAAGCAAAGTGATAGCAGATAAGACAGAGCCAAGACATAATCCGCACACCACAAACACACTCTCAGGTGCCATTAGATTCCCTGCTTCAGCTGAATTCTCCTGACAGAGCACTTGGGCACTCAGGCTGGGGCTCAGAGCAGGAGCAGCAGCTGCAGTAACCCGTTGTGCTGGGTCCCCAGGGAGAAGGCAGAGCAGGCCATCTGGAACCGTCTGCAGCACCTCAAGGCGCTGAAGGCCCGGCGGCCCCAGGCTCGAGCTCCGCTCCGCGTCGGGATCCTGGGTACGGCCGGGCTGCATGGCCTGAGTCCCACTGGCAGCAGCCCCCTTGGCCTGGGGTGAAAGCAGCTGGAAGGGCTGCAGGGGAGTAACAGAGAGCACTGCCTCATGAGCAGCCTTCTCCTTTGGTGGCAGGATGCATGGCTGAGAGGCTTAAGGAGGAGATTCTGCACAGGGAGAAGCTGGTCGATGTCGTGGCAGGCCCTGATGCTTACCGTGATCTTCCCCGGCTGCTGGCAGTGGCAGAGTCTGGCCAGCAAGCTGCCAACGTCCTGCTGTCCCTGGATGAGACCTATGCTGACATTCTGCCTGTCCAGACTAGTGCAGGTGGCACAACAGCATTTGTGTGAGTACCTTTTCCCAGTGCTTGTTTTGTGGCTCTGGTTTGGAAATCTGTGCAGAGTAGATGTGTCAGTGACAGCAGCTGCCCAGGAGATGCAGTGCCTGGCTGCACTGAGTGTGTGTGTGTTTGTGTTTGTTTTTGCTGTTGCTTTGCTGTGTGACTGGAGAGCATGCCCTGAGCTTTGGCTGTTGTGGACTTCTCTTTCTGTCCTTTGGGAATGCTGACTCTCAGTCTGATGCTGCATTGAGTGATTTCTGTGCCACTGTCTCTTCCTGAAGTCCATGCTTCTCTCATCCCCTGCCTTCTGTGGTCCCCTGCCCCAGGTTCTGCTATTTCTTGTTCTCTGCTCCACACATTATAACTTCTGATTGTTTAGTTTTGGTGATAACATTGTCAGACATGAAATCAGACTCTGCTCAGTGTGGCTATAGTGTATGGAAGGACAGTGTCATTCTGCAAGAGTGGGATGTAGAAAGATCTTTGATCACTGCCAGGCTGCAGTGGCAGTCTGTGCCTCATTAGCTTTTTCCAGCTTTCTTGAAAATGTGCATGAAAAATCAGGAGGCATTAGCTCAGGGCAAGCTGAATCCAGTGTGGATGGTGTGTGTGTGGAGCTAGCTGCAGGCAGCAGTTCTGGGCTCATCCTGGGCAGGATGCAGCATGGATGGTTCTGAAGGAAAGGGGTATGACCTGTGCTTTACCTCTGGGCAGGTCCATCATGCGGGGCTGTGACAACATGTGCAGTTACTGCATCGTGCCCTTCACCCGAGGCCGGGAAAGGAGCCGCCCCATCGCCTCCATCCTGCAGGAAGTGAGGATGCTCTCGGATCAGGTGAGGCAGAGCCTCCTCCCACCTGTCCCAAGGCATGGGAGGAAGGGTGGATCTTGGTAACAATGTTTTCAGTGGTACTTGTAACCAGTGCCTTTATCTGCAGAGATGAGGGGATTCCCCTTGTAATAGTCCATGACAGGGATGGGAGGGCTTCTGTTGGAAACTCCTTGCAGCAAAACCATGGCTGCCCTTGCAGCTCAGCCATCCTGCCCAGGTTATATTTCTTCCTCTCTGTATATTTTGTAGGGAGTGAAAGAAGTGACCCTCTTGGGTCAGAATGTCAACAGCTTTCGAGACCTGTCTGAGGTGCAGTTTCAGTCAGTGGCTGCCCCAGCCCTCAGCCGTGGCTTTAGCACAGTCTACAAAGCCAAAGCAGGAGGTTTGCGCTTCTCACACCTGCTGGACCAGGTCTCTAGGATTGATCCAGAAATGAGGATCCGTTTCACCTCTCCACACCCCAAGGATTTTCCCGATGAGGCAAGTGTAAAATAAACACCTTGGCTTCTGCTTGCAGGCAGCAAGGCAGCTCTGAAATGTGAGGTATGGGCTGTGCTGCCTTCCCAAACAAAGAGATTGTGGGTTCCCAAACTGGGAACAGCAACTCCTGGGGCTAAAGCTGGCAGGTTTGCAGTTTGCTGGCTTTTAGCCAGGGAAGATTCCTCCCTTGGTACTCAGGTACAGTTAAGCTCTCTGAGACATCTCCTGATCACTTACCACAGGTCCTGCAGCTCATCCAGGAGCGACACAACATCTGCAAACAGCTGCACCTCCCAGCCCAGAGTGGGAGCACCCGAGTCCTGGAGGCCATGCGGCGAGGGTGGGTCACCCATGAGGAGCCCTGTGTCCTGCCCTTTGGTTTGCCTGCTGGTTTCTCCTCACTGATGTTGTGGGTTTCCATTTAGCAAATCCATGTGCTGTTCATTGCAGATACACAAGAGAAGCATATTTAGAGCTCGTGCACCATGTGCGTGACTCTATTCCAGGTACGTGTTCCTTTGGCTTGGTCTGAACTCGGCATGGCTGCATCTCACTGTCCTTTCCCAAGTGCAGCATTCCTGTCTTCCATGAGGGAAGTGTACAGCTGTATCTGTGTTACAGGAGTGAGCCTGAGCAGTGATTTCATCGCTGGGTTCTGTGGAGAGACAGAGGAGGATCACCTGCAGACAGTGTCCTTGCTGCGGGAAGTCCGCTACAATGTTGGTTTCCTGTTTGCCTACAGCATGAGACAGGTGAGTGCAGGCCCTGGTGGAGAAGGCTGTTATCTCTGGCTGTGTCCCCTAAACTCCTCAGTGCTATTTCTCACAATAACATATTTTTTAAAAAGCTGATGAAAATCATACCCAAAGACTTGTATACTGGTAGATGTTGTTTGTCCCGGGTAGCACTTGTAGGGTATGTGGTTCTGCAAGGGCTATTTTGCCTGGGAGGCTTCCAGCTTCTCTGTAGGAGTGTCAGGGTTGGTAACTGCTCAATGACCTGGCTCTGAAGATGCTCCAGGGTCATTGCAGGGAAGCAACTGTGTCAGCAGAGGCTGCAAGTACATTATTTGCTGATGAAGAATGTGCTGATGGTGCTGGGCTGTAGCCCAGCTGTGAGAGTCTGTCAGTCAAGTCTGGAGAGAAGTGGTGAATTTTTGAGAAGGTATTTCCATGAGAAGAGTGGGTAGTTGGTAAGTCTCCATTAGAATGCTCTCCAGAGTGTATGATTCTGTTGGGGAAGAGGACAGAAGGTTGGGAAATTTAAGGAATCAAAGGGATTTGGATTACCATTCAGTACATAGATTAGAAGTAGTAGAATCTGTCCACAGACAGGCACATCCCACACAGGAGCTGCAAAATTGTTTCACAGCCACTGATACTCAGTGCCCTGCATCAGACCTTCTGCCTAAAAGGTGGAGAAGAAAGATGTGAGGAGCACGAGGGCATGGCTGGCGCTGGAATAGTTCCTTTGTGATACAAACTGACATGCTGTTGGAATGTGGGAAGCTGTTGCTGGAGGAGCAGTGGGGCTGGCTGGGGTCAGCCAAGGCTCTGGGCTCAGGCTGGGTGCTGAGGGGCTGCTCTGGCTCTGTGTGTGCAGAAGACACGGGCACATCACCGGCTGCAGGACGATGTCCCCGCGGATGTGAAGAAGCGGCGGCTGGAGCAGCTCATTGCCACCTTCAGGGAGGAGGCTGTGAGGGCCAACACAGCACTGGTGGGACAGGTCCAGCTGGTGCTGGTGGAAGGGGTGAGTGGGCCTGGAATGGAATTGTCCTCCTCCTTTCTTGCTGGATCTGAGGCTGTGCACAGCAGTCATCACTTCTGCCTTCCCTTCTCACTTTCCCCTTGTAATCCCAGTACTCCCAAGACCGTTTCTTCACACTTAAACAGACAGCCTGACTTTGCCAGAGCACTGAGCTGAGCACAGGGAATGGGATCAGTTAGGGATGCATCTCTGGCCAAGCACAGAATTTGTGCTTTGGTGTGTGAGTGTCACCCAGCAGCTCTGGACACAGTGCTCTGTTCCAGGGCTTGGTTAATGTGGGTTTAATACCATCAATAGTGCTCAATTAATTCCTGAGGCAATAAAGCCCAGCAGTGAATCAGAGCAATTGCCATGCAGGTAATGTTCCCTGTCCTCTTTCCAGCCCAGCAAACGCTCTGCCTCGGAGCTGTGTGGGAGGAACGACGGCAACATCAAGGTGATCTTCCCCGACGCCGAGCTGGAGGATGCTGCTGAGCCCGGGGCTCCAGGCAGGGCCCAGCCCGGGGACTATGTGATGGTGAAGGTGACCCACCTGCAGTGCTCAATTCCTTGCTCAGTGCTGTTCTCTAGGGCAGCTGCTGCCAGAAGAGCCTAAAATTAGAATGGATCCTCCCCAGTGCCTGAAGGCCTGTGCTGTTTCTTTCAGGTAACCTCTGCCAGCTCGCAGACCCTGCGGGGAGCTCCGCTCTATCGGACCACCCTGTCCCGTGCTGCTGCTTCTCACTGAGGGATCCCTGCTGCCCCTGGGTGGAAGCAGCACATGTTCTCCATGAAGAAACAAGGAAGTGTGGTCAGTCAGAGAGATATGGTAGAACCAGGAAGATATATATGTATATTAAAATTTATTTATGGAATAATAAAATACATATATATTTTTGCTTTGGTGCCAAGTTACCCGTCATAGTGTGTGCAGGTTCAAAGGGATAGAAGCTGTGTGTGAACTTGCAAAATCCAAGTACTGTGAGATTGTGTATTTTGACTTGCCCTGAGGCTTGTCCCGCCCTCAGAGTGCTGCAGGTCTGTCCTCTGACTGTGATCACGTCCTCTGGCACAGCCCAGCCTGAGATGGATGTGCAGAGCAGTTCCTTCCTACGAGCTCAGCTGAATTTAGGAGCTGCAAAAGCTGGTAGTACCTACAAAACACAGCCCCAGTAGCTGCTGGAGAGTGACAGGAGTACTGTCAAAGGGTAGAAAGACCTGAAGTAACAGAAGATTGATTAATTCTTTCCAAATATTGGCAAAATGCTTGGAAAGGAGATGCAAGAACCCACACCACACTTGTGTGTTGGAATGTGACACTGGACTGTGGAATGAAAAATGGTGTTTAACGTGCTCCAGTGAATCTGTTGTGTCTGGGGCTGAAGGAATGCAGCCTTGCCCTGGTACTGGGGAGGATTGGATCTTGTCTAGAGAAGATTTCCTTGTTTCCAGGCCTGGCGAATGCGTGGGAAGAGATGGCTGCTTAAAACATGGGGTGCACTTTTGTAATCCAAACATCTATGGATGTCCTTCCCTTTGCTTACCAAGAGAAGTGGTTGTACTGATTTAAATGGCCAGTAAGTTCTTCAAATGCATGACAGTTCCTTGTTTTCATCAGCCTGCAGCTGACCCTGGCTGCGCAGTGTCACATTCCAGCCTGCTCCGTGAAATTCAAACAAGGACCTGTGACCTGCACTTGTGAGTAAACTGAGATGTGAGAAAGGATCACCCCTTTTCATACAGATAATCATGTCATTAAAATAAATCCTTGTAAAAGGCTCAAGCCAGTGGCCAGTTTTGAAGGAACAGCTGGTAGCAGGGCAGTCACAACATGAATTTGCAGAATTTTAAAATAAACATGAAAGGGTTTTGCTCGAAAGCCACCTCTCCTGCTCAGCTCTTTCTGGGCTATAATTGTTTCTCTTTGAAAACAGCATGGTTCACTGAATATTCATTAGGCTTCAAGAAACAAATACATTTTGTTTATTATCAGAGCTGAGTCCCTTCTCAGGAAGTGAATCTGCACAAACAGCACTGTCTGTGTGGGCTCTGAGGGACTGACAGGCACACAGGGCTGCTCTGCCCTCCTGCTTCCACATGGGAATGTGTATTTGGCCCAAGTTCACAAACCAGGGCCTGAACCTGTGCTGCTCAGTGAGGATGAGCCTGTGGTCCAGGGGGGTTTCAGGAAGAGGCAGCAGTTTGGGTGAAATCCCAAAGGAAGCAGCAGCATGTATAAGCAAACAGCCCTCAGAGGTGATGGGCAATGAGGCCAAGATGCTTGGCTCATCAAGCCCACTGAGCAGTGGCCAAATTTAACTGCCCTATGGCAAATCTTTCAGCTCATAATTCCCAGGCATTTTGGGATTAGGGCCCAAGCCAGCACCCTGGAAAAAGGGCTGACACCCACCTTTCCCTGCTCATTTTGACTTCCCCAGGAGCATCTATTCCAAGTGGGAAATGCAGACCACAGTGTGCCCTCCCCCCTCCATCCTGCTTTGAGGCCAGCTGTGGCCGTTTTACAATCATTATTTTAAGAGTGGGAGACTAATGAGGAGGAGAGCTGGGTTTTACATTTTGATGAGGAGGTGATAATGCTCACTGCACGGGCTCCCTGGGGAGCCATAGCACTCACCATTTGCTTCGCCTCCTTAGTTTTTATAGGCCTCGGGAATGAAGACCGAGGTTCTAAGGCAGCAAAGCATCCATTAGGAAGTGCTCACGGTGACCTTGGAGGCTGAGTCAGTCCTTTGGCACTGCGTGGAAGAAGGAATGTGTTGTTTTTCTTGAGGCCTGGAGGTGGGATGCGGGTTCTGTGTCACTTGTAAGGTTTGCTGCCTAAATCCAGCTATTGGGAAAGCTGGATTCCTACCTCGTTTGTGCTCATGCACGTTTCTGTTCCCACCCTGAGCAGGGATGAGAGCCCTGAACCCTCCCAGACCTCCCATCTCCCTGATGTACACCTGTGCCTTCTGCAGGTCAAAGCTGTGCCCTTGCAGTCAGTCCTGCCCATGGGCAAACACCTCGGGAGGCTTTTGGCAGATCAGGTTTCCCAGTGCAGACCTGAAGTGCTGGGATGACATTTACTTTCCACCAGCAGCCGTGCCCTGAGGGTGTCTCCTGACACCGGAATTTCGTAAATCACAGCCTGAGCTTTCCTCTCTGCTGGCAGGGTGTGGGTGAGGCTGGACATCACCCGCACACACAAATAGCTTCACCTGGCAGAAAGGTCGCTGGCAGGGAGAACAAGAGCCTGTTTGTTCCCCTGGCCCCCATCAGAGAACAAACTTGTTTGTCCTCAGGTCTTGGCTGTGCTTGGGGAGTGGAGGGACAGAGAGCAGCAGGTGCTCACAGCCCCTGCTCCCTGCTCAGCACTGGCTTTTACTGGCTTAAGGACAGTCTCAAAATTGATCCCCATCACTGCCTACACTCTCCTGCCCAAATTTGCTCCCTTCTCCAAACTTTTGAAGCAGCTTGGGCAGAGCAGTCAGGCTTTTCCCAGTGCCAGAGCTGGCCATGGTGTGTGTATCGTGTCCTCCCCCAGAACCCCTCAAGCTCTGCAGTCTGTGTTCCCTCTGCATATCCTGGTGCTGGTGGAGGGAAGGATGGATGTCTTCCCTCATGGAAGCCTGTAGCACAGTTTGCTTTAGGTCAGCTGGAGCTTGCTCTGCTGAGGGGGTGGCAGGTGACAAGGCATTGCCTCTGAGTGATGCCAGCAGCCTGCCAGGCTGTGCCAGGGGAAATGCTTTCCTCCTCTTTTCTCATGGCTTTTCACTGCAGCAGACAGGCTTCATGTGCCTGCCAGCCCATTCCCCCAGGCCTCCTCCTCCTCCCTGCTCTGGGACTGCTGTGGGCTGCGGGTTCAGGGAGTTTTCCTTCAGCAGTTTTTCATCACCATTTCTGAAGGCAGCTCTTCGCACAGAGATTTGGGATTTAATGGAACATAAAGAGCTTTCAAAACTGTTTTCCACTTCTAAAACCAGTTCTACAGTTCACTCCTTTCTGAAACTGGCAGTGGTTGGGTTCTGGCAGGGCAGGCACAGCTGTTCCTGCAGGCTCCTCTGCAGGTGATGGTGAACTCTGTGCTGTGCTGGAAATGCAATGAGCTCTCCATTGCCATTGCTTGGTGCACTCCAGACCAGCCCCAAGCTGCTCTGCAGCCCCCCCAGGTTGGCAATGTGTGTCCCCAGCCTCCCTCCAGGTCTGTGTGCCTCCTTGGAGCGCTCCTGGGCTGTGACCTGCATGGCAATGACAGAGGCGGTGAGTGGCAGCTCCGAGCCGTGGGGTTTGTGAATTCAGAGGGTATCTCACAGTCTGTCACAGGCACTGCTGCTCTCTGGGGCCCAGCAGTCCTGCAGCTTTCCCTCCTCCCTTGTGAGCAATTTATTTCCTTTGCTGACAGGCAACTATTGACTTCTCATTCTCCTGAAGATGAGATGTCTTGTCTCATCAGGTTTAAATTAGTTTTATCTTTAGCCTTTCCTATTAATAAGCTCTCATTGCGGTGTCATTACTTGATATCTATTTTCTGATGTTTTTCATTAATGGCTCTATATCTTCCAGATATTTTTTTCAAGTGTTTTTCCCCTGCTGCTGAGTTATTTAACAGTCAGACACAGATCAGAGACATGAAGATGGTCTGATGCTGGTCAGAGACAGCGTGGAATGGCCCAGCACCACTCGGTGTGCAGGGCAGGGAGCTGGGACTGTGGTGGGGCAGCAGTGGGGAAGCACTGGGCTGTCAGGGGTGGTCATGCATTCCCTCCCTGTCTCTCTGCATCCCTCTGATCCCAGCCTGAGCTCTGACATGCCTGGGGCTCTCAGGAGCACGAGTCAATAGAGTAATTAAAATGCCTCCTGTGAGGCGAAGGTGCTGCAATTCCTTTGGACAGCTGTATCTGTGAAAAACAGGGCTGCCCTCTGTGCTTTATGTGCCTGGCAGGGGCTCTTCCCCTTCAGAAGAACTTCCACCAGGAAATGTGAAAGGGAATTATTTCATATTATTTCAAGGGGTCCCTGCCCAGGGTCCCTGTTCCTGCTGGGTCCAAGCCACCTTCCCCAGCAGCCAGTCTGGGGCAGCTGCCCCTGCCACCAGGAACGTGGGGCTGGAGTGCTGCCAGCCTGGGGACAGGCAGGGTGGCCAGTCTGGGACAGGCAGGGCTGTCAGCACAAGGACAAGGCTTGGGGCTTTCTCGTTATGGCTCCAAGGTGTCAAAAGCAAAGTCCATCAGTGTTGAAAACACCCAAATTCTCAACCTCACTGCCCTACATTGACTTCTTGCATTGAGGAGGAGGAGAAGGTGTCTGATTCCTGGGGAGCAACCCCAGGGGCGACAACGGCCTGATGCACAGTGGCATGTCTAATGGGGCTGTCAGGGTGCTCAGGGACACTGCTGGGGGTGTGTTTGCCACTCACAGAGCAAGGTCATTGTGGGATCCCTCGCCCGCCCCGGCTGTGGCTCCCATGTAGGAATTACAGAGTGGCTGCAGGATGGGCAATCTGCAGCAGTGCCTCCAGCAGAGGGTCTGAGAGTGATTAATATTCAGCACACTGCTGTGAAAATGAACAGCCAGAAAGGATTTTCCTCCTCCCCTTCCTGCATCCATGAGGACAGTGATGGGAACAGAAATGAGATTCACTGATTATGGGGTTTTGAGACTAAACAAGTTGCTCTCTGCGTTATTTAGTGTCTTTTAATCTGTTCCTTCTCCTTTTCTTTTCTTTTTTTTTATGTCTTCTTTCTGTAATTTAACTACAGGAAGTTTAAAAAGTAATAGTAGGAGGCTTTGGTTGAAGCTATCAGAACCAAACAGGAGGCAATTCCACAACCAGCTTTCCTTTAAAAATGGGAAACATTCTGACATTTCATTAAAGGGAAGATTCTTCCCACAGTTTCTTATCCAAACTCAATTTTGAAAAGCCCTCATAGTGTTGGTGGCGAAGTTTTCCCTATGCCATGCTCAGCAGCCAGTGCAGCAGTGGCAATGCTGACAGTACCCTGGGGTGCTCTGCACAGCACACAGGTGCCAGTGGGTGCAGAAGCCTGGGAGAGGCTCAGACCAGACTCCACAGGGCAACTCAGTAGGGTGGGAGGAACCTCAGGAAAAACCCCATCACTGCCCCTGCAGCCAGAGCTGGCAAAGGTCTGAGCTGTTCCAGAGCCACCTGTCCTGGCACACTGGGGCTGGGTGGTGCCAGCAGCAGGGACATGCCCCCTGGCACTGTTTTTGTTAATATTGGTGGGCCAGAGCAGTGCAGGTGCTGCTGCTGTCCCCACAGGGCTCACAGGGGCCAGGGGCTGCCCACCCCTGCCTCTGTGCCAGCAGAGGTGGG